TACATTATACATTTATACATTTAGTGCTTTAATTCGTAGGAAATAAAATATATGTGACGAAGCAATGATAAAGCGCCTGATTTTGCATTTTATATTTCCTTAAACTTATCTTCCAATCGTAAGCTAGCATTAAAAAAGTAATACTCCTCCTTCATCATTGACCAACATAATGTATTGACCAGTTACATAAATGTCTACTAGGTTGGAAGGTTTTAGATTAAGTGAAGGAGTTATGATGGGGCATCAAGCCCACAACTTGCCTATGAACAAATGTGTCTTGCTGGTTGAACAATTACTAGTTTCTTCACATAAAGTCTGAGTAAAAGACAAATCTTTGAAATGAACCCAGTTATGGCAATTCGTCGCTGTTTAAACAGGAATTCAGATAAAAAATGTAACCCACAGAAAGTCGAATGCTAACAGTTAAATTACCGAATATGTAAGCAGTGCGAACATGGGAGTAAATTTGTCAAGTGCATTGGAGAGCAGTTATGGGATTATTTGCATCACTCTGGCTGATTCATCGAATCGAGACACAGCTGGACGTCCACTGCGCCGCTGTCATGGTTTACCAAATACAATATGCAAGCACAGGTGTACAGAAACCGCTGAGGACATTACGCAATACAACTCCAAGTATGCGTAGTTCATTCGCTCCAAAGCATTGCATGTGGCTGACACGACTCTTCCCGAACCGTCACCAATCTTCTTCTAAATATATACGAACAAGATGCAGGTTCTACAGATGTAAAAGCACATAATTACACCAATCTAAAAGGTGTAGAAGGAGCATTCGTCCTCCAAATAAAACACATGTTATGCCCACCAGAAGCATGGTGTCCACGGTCACTGAAACGACCATGGTTTACGCGGAGAGCAACAAAATTTTCAAACAGTGCCGCACGGGATTTGCGAAGTTCTTTCCCGCATTACTAAACTTTAAATAGCTAGAGCATTGTGGACGGGATCCGTAGATGTTGGTGTAGGAGTAGAAATCGCCAAGGTGGATTAATCGAAAGTATTCTTCTAAAATGCAAAATTGTACACTACTTCAAATCTGTATAAATATTTACTAACTGATGCAATTCTGAGTTTGATGGAAAAGTTTCTCTTTCGATGTAGCATAAATTTATCAGCTCTCCATAACTTACTTCAACCAGTTGAGTTCAGGTCCGGCCTACATCCGAAACGCGACGTGCACTTGTTTTTGGTATTTATAGAAGACCTGGCGACGGTGAAGTCCGCGGATAAAATATAGATTGCAGGTGGCAAAAGAAAGGCCAAGTTACAAATATTTTGTTAAGCCAGACAATTGAAAATGATGAAATGGATGAGGAATAAACATTATCCGTTAAGAGCTTCCTATAGTTTAAAATCACAAGTGCACAGGTCCCAGTACACGCCATCAGCTAAGCCTCAACTATCGGCAATGAAAACAATTGCCACAGAGGGCTTCGCGTTTCTAATATTTATGCGTGCTTATGCAAAATGAACTCGATATTTGCAGCAGATGAAAACGTACTATATATAGGAATTCAGCACTTGGAACTTCATCGTAGGTCATTCGGAGTGTTCAGAGCCTCTTTGTTTCTGTTCGCTTGTGACGCAAACGTGATGCCGCATGCAGAATAGGTTATCCAAGCTTCGAGACCCTGGTTAAACACTAACTATGCAATATTAGGAATAAAAAAGAAAAACAGCGAAGAAGTTCAAATTTTAGATCTCAGCTTTCCTACATAATCATTCTGTATAATGTAGATCCATATGGCGAGCGTTATCTTAGTCTAGGGGATATTACGTTATGCTGTATCAGACCCTAATATTCCCTGACGACACTTCCCATGAGCTTTTGCCACTCAGGCAAAACACATGACTGACTGTAATCGGTTAACTTTGGCTCAATACTACAGCCGATTGGAACATTAACGAAAATATTTTGACATCCGGGTAACATAGAACAGGAGCTTGCTCACATCGCAATATAAATTGCGACCAAATAGTTGCAGTACAAATATGACTGAAAATATCCCACAGCATTTGCATACGTGTTATAACCAGTGGACATAAGTTAATGTTTTTAGTACCGTAACCGAAATGAATAATAGAATAATACTCCGACTTAAAAAAAATAAAAAATGCTGTTGATCAAGCGAAGCTTCAATTACTATTGCCCCCTAAACCACACCAATGAAAAAATAGGCATTTGATTTACCACTATTTCATAACAGCTACAAAATACATGCAAGAAGGTGCCAGAGGAATGAATTTACAATAGGTTTGGTCACCCGTCGAACAAAGCAGATAATAAGTATAATAAAAAACATAGACAAAGAGAAAACTAGTAGATCCGGAGTTAGATATTAACGTCCGCCACTCTTCCAATATTCCTCTCGTTTGACCGCCATGTAGGTTAGTTAATATGCCCCGCTGCACAAGCGCAAGCAAGTAGCTAGCGTGTCAAAAGAGTTCGGTCGGTCGGTAACATCATCTTGGTTTGACACGTTTAATATTATTCTGCGCGAATCCGCCTTATTCACCACAAACTACGTTCCTTCGGTGAAATGGTGAGGCTACGGTATCTTACGATTGCGACGATTCAATCATTAGAGCTAAGGTGGTGCAGCTACCAACGGGTCTCCTTTGAAACTCACAATTTTTCGTCACACTTCGGACGGAATATGGTCAATCTAAACAAAGTAAAAGCTTAGTGGTTTTTCATTATAGGTACAGGACAATTTGCACAAGGTTTTGGCACAGAATAATTAGGGATGACGTATTATTAATTACAAATAGATATTACAGCTTTATGACGTCATACGTTTTCCATTTTAGTCAAGGCTATTGGATCCGATGCAAGCAGCAACAAAGGTATGGTTTGTTTAATTTGGTTGCATTCCATTGCTTTTTGCATCCGTCATTTCTCTGACATGGCATATGAAAAATGAACAGTCAGATTTAATCATTCCGTTTCGTAATCATACCTAACATTGCGTTAATCTGTTAGATTATCTCACGCCTTTAACAAAATAATGTTTTAGTGCGTGCGCGCTTAATACGGATACAAAATAACAGCGTTTTAGCACACGAATGAAATCTGCACGGCAAGAGCCTTTGGGTGCACATAGAATAACAGAAATCGGGACTTCAACAAATCATTCTTCCACTTCATTATTCCGCAGGATACTAAATAGGCAATATAGAAATTAAACTAGCTCATTAAGCATAAACTTATATAAGAGCTGATAACGGAATACAGATGTATGAATCGGTGCGATTTTTTCGTGATTTAGAAGGCGTCATTAAGCATTCCAGAGTACAGGATTCGAAAAGTAACACCAAAACTCCTCCATTTCGGAAACGGTTTTTATGATCGGAATGACCGAAGTCTACTTTAAAGTGCAGCGAATTCTCAATAGAGATTATATTTTGCAATCATACCAAAATTTAACTAAACACCTAATGCAACTTTTAACATGGCACCCATTGAAGAAATACGTCCTTTTTCATCACGATGACGGCCTTATTGTTCATTATACAATGGTTGCGTTAGTCTCTAAATATGTGACAAATTTTGTACAAAAGCAACAATAGACATCGGTTGGCTTACTTTTAATTTACTCTAAAGCAGGTCGTTGGATTACCATAAATTCATTTTCACATGCGCTTCTTGTAGCCATAGTAGGTTAACCTTCCGACGTTAAGAACTTTATAGGCTTTGGGACAGCAAAGTTTTGACTAAGTTGCGCTGAAAAATTATAAATCACAAGCAATGACTTAGGAGTCTATTTATATAATTTTATTTGCCAAGCCGAAACATAAATCAAAATTTGAACTGGTTGCTTTTATAAAATTGTTGACACCATTTGTTCAATGCAACTAAATGAATTTAAAATTGAAATATTTTTAGTGCGTTACGAATTCCGTAGGTTGCGTTATATGCTTCATATAAGCGCTGTTTTCTACTGTCTTTGTAAGGTGGAAGCATTTCAGATTGTCATACACAACATCTCTTTAGCAATAATTAGTGTTTGAAGTGTGAGCATTTTTATGCTAGTCAATGGAAATATATATAAACATATATATCTATATCTATAGCTGGATATCTTCAGAATCTTAATGATACTTATGAAAGTACTTTGTAGACAGCAGTTTTATCGCCGTTTCTTAATCCTAATATTAAACCTTACGGATAGTGTGTCTACTATGGTAACATTCGGCAGAAAACCCATTCATAGTTGATGGTGTATGCACGTCATATGTTCCATGACAATTGTCGTCATCACTGGATGTTAAGTAGTGCTTTTCTCATTCATCAATTTATATAACCTTTTAAGTTCCTATGCATTGTTACTTTAGGTATGTACGCCAACCTAAAACAAACCAATGTGTCAACGGAACGTAATAGCTAAAAAGAGGATAAAAAGCATTGCACTGGAACGAGTGTGGCCCGTTTAAGTTTTTTATTCAGTCAAGATAAATAAGCGTTTCGTGGCATTATTTGGGGTAAACATGTTTATTAGGTATTAAGTTTATAAGTATGGTGTTTGCAATAGACTAGAAACGTCAATTATTACGTTGCGTTAGCGATAATATTGCATTTGAAAGGATGTGCACAGGTCATATGCACAGTTTTGAGTACCAGTAGCCACTGTGTTACTCTACCGTTCTAATTTGGTAAGGCTTATCTAATTGTGACAAAATAGAAAATCTAGTTTTCCAACTAAACCAGCAACTCGGATAGGAATGCTGTACAGCTTGTACCCGCTTCATCTGAACAGCATTCTTCTGACTAAGTTTCTGTGGAACAGATCCGAATTATAGGAGGATTTTCGATGTGGATCTGAGGAACCGGCGTTTGACAGCCGGGTAAGACTTCGCAAACAGTCCAAAACAACGAAGTTTATTTGCACACGAATTACTCAATAACTGCTAACTTTTCGATACACTTATTGCCTCTATAGATATATGTAAATATATATATATATATATTCCTTTTGTAGCGCGTATCACTGTCCAAAGCTCAGAAAGCGCAACTATACTTGAAGATGAACCAACGAGCGGTAGGTAACTTAATTATGCGTAAAACCATTGCGTTGGATGATTAAAAATCGTTTTCAAGTCGGTTGACGAAGGTGGAAAGCTTTTACTATTTTCGTGCTCAGCGCTAATTGTGTTTTTGTTATGTTGGTTTTATGTGGTCAAACGGACTTGTTTATCTTGTTGAAGGGGCTTAATGCATTATAATTAGTACAAAAACTATATATAGCTTTACATCATAAATAAAAAGTTAATGTTTCGTCTACGCTTTGGATGTGTTTTTGCGGCGGTAAATTCGATAGATTGCTGTTAAATATTCCACATTGTTTGTACTTTGTATTTTCATTGGCATAGTTGTTGATGACTATTGATTTTTATTTTTTATTTTGCGTAGGCGCGTTATGAACCATTTCACGTTTTTTTTCATTAAGTTATATTCCGCCAATCTGCTCCCAACCCGTATGTCAGCGAAAGATAACAGCAAAAAATAGGGTAATAAACCTTACATCCGAAGGATCCTTGCCAGCTTTAGTTGAGTATTGATTCCAGAGATATAATATTTATGGAAAATTTAAGGAAAGCATTTTATGTTGACATTTGCGTGATAAGTTGAATGTTTGCGGTATACTTTGTATACCAGGCATTATTTGTTTACTGACAATATGGGCTTTGTCCAAAATCACCTTCAATATTTTCGGCAAATCTGCCGGCTAGGCAGTCAGCTGCGCTTGCTTCAGCACCAAAAATTGATCAATATTGGCGGTGCATCATTAGACTTTCCTTAATTATTATTATTTTCACATTAAGGATAACATGAAACGTTCATTCGACCAATGGAGACTTAATCGATTTGACTACACAGTTGCCACCAATAGATACCATTTACGACTCCTACATCACCTAATGACAAATTTCGTGCCCTAATTTAAATTTACCTCAATTGGCTGGACTACTGTTTTCAACTAATGGTGTGCAAATATTTCGGTTCAAACGCCCCTCGTAACAAGTAGCGAATGTTGTATTTCGGTATTAGCTTTGCCATCAAATCCTGGCCCAAGACATCCCTTTTGCGCAAATTATCCAACTTCCAACCTGTATTTTACCTGAAATTTTCTAATCTTCATCCGTCATTTTACTCACGTGAACTCCGTAACGTTTTGGCAGCACTAACCTTGATAATTTGCAGTCGTGAATTTGTAAATCGTGGTATCCGAATGTAGCCAACTTGTGCAGTCGTATGTCGCTTTCAATCCCCAACGTTTCGCTACTACACATTGCGCAACTGGCCTTTGGATTGCTTAACGGATGTCGCGTGTTCCTTATGGCGGCACCCTGCCCCAAATGGTGTCATGTACAAAGCATTTGTTTACCTACATATTAGTTCTCTTTGGTTCACGCAACACTCTACCCTTCCTTAGCAATTTATTCGCGACGTCGTATTGATCAAAATACCTGCGTGAAACTACCATCCAAACAGTCTCTGTTCGCAGGTTAGAACTTAGGTAGCTTATTCATTTACTCCACACCCTTTTAACACAAAGTGATAAAACGATCGGTTATTATTCCCTTACAAGTCAAGTCCATTAATTTGGTAGACGAAAAACATATTTAACCTTACGTAACTTTTGCCTTATCAAAATTTACCTTTATATCTTCGGATAGTGAAGGCTAAATGAAACTTCTCGCTCGAATGAAAAAATAGGGCAGATAGATTATTAAATGACCATTTCATCCTGGACAGACAACGTACCTCAAAATTCTAAAAGATTTATTTAGGGTTATCGCAATAATTACAGGGAAGGTGACCTTAACCCTAATAGCACCATGATGTCATTTTCATGTAATTAAAATCTAACTACAAGCTGGGATTTTGTTTCTGCTTTCGGCTGCAACATAAATTCACTACTGTTGGAGTTTGCATAAATGAGGATTTCCAAAAATTTCAATCCCCGATATCAAAACATTTTACCATTAGAACAGTCGATGACATTCAGCATCTGACGAAAGGGTTACTTAATAAACTGTGCTACGCTACGGTCTTACGGTTGGCTATTATCAAGTCATTAACAATGGTAATTATATGCTTGTTGGTTGACAGCAAGTTAAAAACATGATAGTTTTCGAAACTGAAATAACCTATCATTTACCCAGTAAATGTGTATTAATGCTTATCTTTTTTCTACTTGAGCTAATTTGCTCAGTGCTTAAGGATGTGTTGTTTTCGTAATATGTATGCCGGTTTCCGCATTTATCGCTATTGGCGTCAAACTGGACGTGCTTTGCATATGTTACAAAAGGAATTAATTAGAGCTTACTTTTTTCTTGACAAATGAGAAAAATCTGGATTTGAAGTCAGTTTAACGGAAATTTAAGCACGCACACTTGAGATTTATTGGTGAATATTTCCCGAATATGAAGTGCTTTACAAAGAAAACGGAAAAGAAAGATAGGAATATTTGGGCTTAATTACTGATATATTCCGATGAAAATGTGTTGCACAAGCATGGATATTACTTAAAAACTAAGAGAAATGGATTCAAGTAAATCTTTGGAGGAAGACATTGGAAGATTTGCATTTTATTTTCTTTGTACCATAGGATGTCACTAGTTGAACATCAATAAATTGCACCTTGAAGATAGAATATCAAATTAGAAAATTTAGATTGTGTCGCAAGTAATCGCCAATAACAGCAAACTGAGCTTTATAAAAGGGCGAAAAGCATGAAATCTCAGACAACATTAGAAAATATAGATTATGCACTTACGTGCGAGAAAATTGCGCTAATTCGAAATTGCAATCCATATCCAGAAATGGGAATTAACTACACTATGTCCCACATTAACGGTGCTTTTTTATTAACATAATAGGTGATTGTGAGACATCGACCATAAATATGCTTCACGTTCACTTGTAGTCGTAATTGATCTTGTTTGTCTTTTCGGCTATTATTCCGTTTACTTTATAGCATCTAGTACCACCGAACACTCTGTCGATGGCGAAAGAGGCAACTTAGGTAGGTCCATGGTTATTGTTCTTTCTTCCAATGTGTTAGTGAATTAGCCCCACTGTTTTTCAATAGAAGTCTCCGTTGCAACATCAAAAGTCCAGTTCGATTTAAACTAGAGCAGAACTAAAGCATTTACGGTTCTCCTTATTCACAAGCAACGATTTGCGGATCGTTCAACATCAGACGTAGAGAACAAGGATTACACATGGTTATCCGTAGGTACTTTAGGAAATCTTTTTTCCTAGCGGAGCTGTAATGGCATATAGCAAAATCTCGTGGTATCTAGTTACTGTATGATTGCTCGCGGAGATCCTGTATTAGTGGAAGCCACCAAAGTTTACTTGTGAACTTTGTGGAACACAGTAGAACCATAGCTTCACATTGAACAAGGATGGAAATACATATTTGATCCTGATGCAAGTTGACAACAGACAAAATGAAGTAAAATGTTATGGCAAAATACAAGCTGTTTACGTCCTATAATTTATAGCTGTGCAAGGCACATTTATTTTGTGAAACTAGTAGAATGCATGAAAATAAATGATAAATTGATGCACTAACTAATCACGTTCCATTGATGGAAGCGGTAAATTTTATATGTGATTACGCGAATGGAAAAATTTAGATTCGTAGTTTCCGGTGGGAAAATTGAAGAAATTAATTTTATGGCGGACAATCAACAGAAAACTGTTATTTAATGGAGTCTAATCCAGACAGGTTGACGGTGTCGCAATGAGGTCTCCCCAGGACCACTCTTTGCTGATATTTATTCTCGCTATGATTGAGCGTGAAATTATACGACACATTATCCATTGGTCTGCTTTCTATTGTCGTTATATTGTTGATAATTTTATTATCTACGATGCAGACACCAATGTTTCCAACCAGTTAAACCAGTTAAAAGGCGTTCATCTGTGGTTGAAGGTTACTATCGAAACGGAAACACATGTTAAGCTGGTCTTCTTGAACTTGTTGCTAAGCCGAATAAATGCTGGTTAATTTGAAAGAAGTGCATTCCAAAAAGCCACCTGGGTAGGCCAATTTACACCTTTTCTGAACTTTTTACCTTTAAGGTACAAACGCACCCTTCTTTGCTGATTGTAGTTTCGTGCTACGAATATTTGCAGTCAAGAGAATCTAGAGAGAGAAAGATCCGTAGTATCAAAACGCTGCGAGATAACGGAGAAGTAACACCATTCACTTAAAGGTATGCAATGATCAGCGATAGCCGTGGAGTGCTTCTAGCAATTTCCTTTAAAGGCGAGGTTGCCTTTAATCGGTTGAAGATAAGCATTTTCTGTGCAGTGGCTCAAACATTCCCGTCCGCGTGCCCGCTTGTCCTTGCGGAAACAGCCCATGTATAGCCCAACGGATTAAAGCAGACTTTTGGTTCACTCCCAATCATACATATTATATCAGCTGAACTGCGCCAGTGCTGCGATGTACGTTGGATACAAAACCAGGAGTCCTTCTCTTTGTTTGTTACCAGTTGCTGCTCTGTCATGAGAGAGATCAAGATATTTTGATCGCTAATAATTCACACCTGCCTTGACCTCGTGCCAACGCTCCTGTTTAAATTGATCAGTTATCATAATGAAAATCCAAAGCTATCCTGGTGCATCACAAATCCTAACTATGGTTGATGCGCATTGTTGACTATCTCTGCCGCCAAACTTGATGTTATATTTGCAGTACTCGAAAGCACCTTAACTGGCTATATTACAGCCGATACAACCAAACAGCCTATAGTGAGGTCAACGAGTGAGTCGCATGAAAACGCATGACATATGTTTTCTCTTCTTAAAATAGCATTATGTGGTTTCTTGTTACGGTCCGCGGTGTCTACGCAAATGCGCTGAAAGTTCAAAATCGATGGTGGTACTTAGACCAAATTGTCAAATAATAATTAAATGTACGGCCAAGTAAACATCAAACCAATTATACAAATGTATGCGCAAGCAAATAAATGCAAAATTAGATTCATTTTTTGTGGGCAGACGTTCATAAACATCCAATTTCATCCTAAGTAAATCGCCGGTTTGCACATTGCTGCTCTCGTCAGGACTTACATAAAAAAGGTTTATACTAAATGTGTGGTAATCTTAAATCTGATGGGAGGATGGCACAAACAATGAGCGTGTTAGGTTTTGCGTAATTTTTGCAGGAATAGCGAGTGAAACATTAAGCATCATTATATCACGTAACGGGCTCCGATTGTTGTGCCATTGGTTGGGCTCCGTTTGAGCACCGGGAGTGATGTTGGAAGAGGAAGCGGGGAGGCCAAGCTAGTAATTGATCAAAAAAAAAGAGAATCCTCAATTCGAAGTACGCTTCTGTTTGTGCATGGTTGGACACACTACTGATACGTCTACGAGCCGGGTGCAATTGTGTCTGTTTTGTGCTTTCCATTTTCTATTCCCTCCCAGTTTAGCCTCTCACTAATTATGATCTCATTCATTAAAATTGACAAATATTTACAACAAGAGAGCCTTTTCTTAGCCCCATGATCCATGAACAAATATTAAAGGGAAAGTAATCAGCGTTCCTCTCTTGTTGTTTTTTCCTTGGATGTTGTATTTCGGAACAATATATGTGTTTTTCACCTGCAGCTAATGTGTACGGGGATGATAGTGAGCGTAAATGGGTGCAATTTGTCTACCACATTTGGTACATACATGATTTGTAGTCAAGTTATAAATAACTTGTCTAGCAATGTATAATCCTTATGTATACTCCGTCGTTAAACGATAACGTCTTACGTACAGTTAAGGCTAAACGCGACAGCATGCATGCAATTCGGTACAGCTGACTTTCTCTTCAAGTCTAGTTTGCGGTTTTTATCACCTCTGTATTTATTCAAGTTATTTCTTGAAATGCACTACTATTGGGCTTACATTTTGCGAATAACATGTTGGTTCATCGCACAAAATAAAGTAGTTTGACCTCAAATGTTTATACTATTCTATCCTAAAACTCCATCCATTTACTAGATTAAAACCGGAATCGAAAGTGAAATATTAGCAGGTTTCAGAGGAAACAAAATATGCTCGCCGCAGTTGTTTCCCAAATTATGTCTCCTTTGCTTTTCCTGAATGCGTCTTGCTGTAGTTCCAAATTTATATTTATATGTATTTAAATATGCTTACCGTTTGTAGGTAACATAACCACTGTGCACCAAACTTATGGCAATGCTTCATTCATGATGCTTTCTCAGGTCATTTGGGATAAACCAACTTACACGTTAACCATTTAATAATCCGGATAAAAGACATTCCAGTTTTATTTCCTTTGCATTTCTGTTGTTATGTTGCATAGTCTGTGTCAATGACGTCTGCTTTCTTTCTATTATATTACGTTGCTCTTTGGATATTCCCGGTGTGAGGGCGCTTGACATGATCCTTGACAAGGAGCTTAACTCTCGCATAGCCTCCACACTACTTAGTTCCTCCAGAAATCTGAATGTTTGCTTGGTGGTTAGGTACACGTTCCTCATGACCGTGCAATATAAGGATTGGTTCCATCCAGTGTGTAGTTGACCATGCCACAGCCCCTGCCATGTTTTCGTCTGATTCCCATGATAATCTACATATCTAGGTAGAAATGCAGTTTCTGTGCTTCTTGGATGATTGTAGGTCGGTTCCGTTGTTAACACGTAACACCCATCCACGTGCCTCCCGGTTTGTTCCCTTGGGTTTACTACGAGTTTGAGGTAAAAATAGATGAAGTTGTGGGTGGTTCGGTACAAGCCACCCATTGGCCGTCTGTAGGCGTATGCATCATGTGGCTGTCCTATGGAAGCCAGAGTGCTAGGCGAATCCGGAACCGGATGTGTCGATCGTGTTATTCATATTTACCACAATCACAAATGAATGGTAATATAGCAAGTGGTTATGCTTTAATCAAACTTTTCATTTACGTGCTGAGTTGGGGGTTGTTTTTGGCCAATTGTTGTTCAAGACGTCTTCTCTTCTGATGAGCAACCCATCCGCCTTGAAGTTTCGTCACGCCTACTTAGCGGCTCCAGTACGTAATTTATCAGAATTCTAGGTTAGTAGGCTATTAGGATTTTTAATAATAAGTTTACTCAAAAATAAATATACAGCGCAGAAGAAATTATAGAGGACTAACTTGTACTCCTTACGTCGCTCCATAGAAAATAGCGCAAGCAAATAAAAATTATACATCAAAATTATAAACGCTGTTGCAGGTGCTTGCACAGACAGGTTAATATACTCGATAACTTGAGTGGGTTTCTGCCTGAACTGTTTAGGGAATTGCCTACTTATCGTACTTTAAACTCACGAGAATGCTTTCCAAAATGTTAAGTTATACTGCACGTGCTCTAGACATGGAAATACAGCCGAAGATAAATACCATCACCATAAAATAGAATCAAGCAAGATACTTGTTGGGAATAATTCAAAAAGCTAATTATTCACATTAAAACGAACATCACAAATTATTTGCAAGCAAATGGCATGGTTAGCTGTCAGGAACATATTATGTCATTCGAGACCACAAATATTTCAAGTAAAAATTAAATAAATTATAAGTTCAATTGAGCCACAGCCTAAAGCATACATAAAAAAGAATTTATTGGACGGATATAAATGCCGTTTTAACATTTGTATCTGCTACCAGATTTATACACTTCTTTTGGGAAAATAAAACCTCTGGTATTGTATTAGCCTATCATATGTAAAAAGTTATATATGGTACATCAGTGCAGTCTAAACGTGGGAAATGATTCTGTTACCTTGCTTTCTTTCAATTCATTAACAAGTATGGTCAAAAATACTGGATCCAGATAGAGCCCTGAATATCGCTGGTATATGCGGACAAGAAGTAATCATCCACATTCCCAGAGAACTCTCTTGGAAAAGAAAATATCGTGCGGATTCTCTCTGTACGTGGAGTATAAGGAGCATACCCGGGCAACAGTTGGCATTGTCAATGGTCGATTTCAATGTATGCATAATTGGTTTTTGTTATTCACCATATAACGAGAAGGTTTCCAGTATTAAAGATGACTTATTTAAATAAACCAACTGATTTTTATTAATCAGGAGGATATATTACAACCTTACTTGCAATCCGTGTGATGTCTGTATAGTTTGTAAAAATATTTGCAATGGTGATCCTATCAATACGTAACTGTCCAGGGCTTCGCTAAAATAACTAAATTATTAATCATCTTACACTAATAAATGTTATGGGAATTCATGATTAATTCAGGCAGTCAGTGGAATGCTACGCGAACACTTACAGAACAGCATCCGTACTCTATACCTTTTTGTTCCCAGCTAAGTTTGAATTTGCATTATACTAATAAATGGTTATATTTTTAAAGAATGCCATAAATCAGGTTAACTTTAACGTAAACAGTTTAATTATACCTAATAACCTAAAATATTAAAAGCATTTCATTTAAGGTTAGATTTTGTACGTTGTATAACACTGAGCCATAAATCTGTGATAAATAGAGGACCCAAGTTACTACCTATATGAACTAGAAGTACGAATTTTATGCAAAAAATATCCTACAAATTTGTTTGCGGATACATTGGACTCTAACTTCATTCCGCCATAACCATTCATAGCTAACGGATATATTTATCTGGACACAAAATATTGTTTTGTAAAGGGCTGATTCGTGTATCCTATCGCGTTTATTTAAGTGAACATGCTAATCTAATTATAAACATTTGCAACTCTGTGTCTAACGAAACAGCTCGGGACTGAAAGTTATTTGCAAATTCTGGAAGGCAACAATCAGAACATGAAGTTGATAGCTCAGTATTCGCTTTCCATGTATGAATGGCTTCCTACAATCTACGCCCCATCCGGCCGCATGGTCATGGTGATAAATTCGCCTGCCAAAAGTGCTGGAGGTTATTTCCGAGCTCATTTGTCATCAGGTATGCACAGGCTTATGACTATATATTAAGGATTAAAATTTTGCACACGCCAATCCCTTCTTATTTGAATGACTTTTTTCGCTAATGCTAGCCAATATTTGTGGTTTTATCTATCTCTATTTGAAGATGTCGAATTCGGAGTACTTATTTTGTAACAGTAAAATTATCAAGCGTTCTAGGTTTTAAACATATTTTGAAGCAAGTTCGGCATTTGTCAATTGTTGCCGTTAAATTTTAACCAGGCCTAAATGACATACGGATATCTTTGTAGATCTGAGTTTGTTTCTAATTTAATTGGTTGATCTAAATTCCAAGGATAACAGACAAGTATGTAGGATAGGATTCAATATACACATTATTTAACAAACTTCCAAGTATACCAAATATCCAGCATTTACTTTTTACGTTTATGCGTATAGGCCTTATATTTTGAGCTTGGCTGGAATTAACATGAGTAAACTGATATCTAAACATTTTTCAATATTATGATTTTGCGCAGGCCATTTGAGCTTCCGCAAAACATTTTAAGGATATAATCATGACCTTTGATTTTAAAGTCCACATTTAACTTGTGGGATCGGAGTTAATTCATGTTATTAACAAACATTCTTCCCTACTTTCTCCAATATTAACGTACTTTTCGTATTCTGCGTCCGTAATTTTAAACAATTTTATATTTGACTTTCGTGGCTGCAGCCGATAAATAATTAAAACGGGATAAGCTTAAAATATCGCGTTTTCCGAGAGCTTAATGTTTTACGCTATCTTATACGCAACAGCGTTTAAGTAATGGGGAGCTGGATCTGTAATTATCTGCGTGGTCCTTACTCGGTCACCCATAAAAATTTAAATCCCAAAATTTATTCAAATCAAAACAAAAGAAAAATAAATGTAAAATTTGAAAGGATTATTAATTATGAATAACGAAATCAAATAGCATATATGGCATATGAGAAAAATATATCAAATCAGTGTTGTGACGGATTGGAACATAAGTTGAATACTCTGCAAAATATTCAAAGTATAACTAAGTATAACTGTTCAAAGGCTTGGTGTCACTATGACACATTTCTAAACAACAGTTAAGCAAAAAACGAATAATAGCACTAAGCCTAAACTGCTGTACTCATCGATATAAATCACTTTGAAAGATAGATGTTGCAAGATTAATATAAACATCTAGCTAAAACGCATGCAAAACGTTACTGTTTTGAAATTAAGTATGAGAGGCCTAATCCATCTCTACATTAGTACATCAGCTATCTTTGGGTAAAAAGGGTTGATCTATTGCTTTATGAAACTTAAGTTTACACTGGTGTTAAAGCAAAGCAAAGGAAATTATATGCTTAAAATAAATCGCAAACCACTAATACGCGTAGTTGAATAAAAGGAATCGTTAGTTTTTGACCGAGTTTTATTGGCCTGCTTTTTAACCGCAAGATTTCACGGTTTTGAGCTTAATAAATGAGTGGCTAATTGTCCGCGTCTGAATATAATTTATGGCAGTAAAGTGGACTGCCGAACACTTCATGCACCAGTGGCTAAAGTTCAACAGGAATAACCACAGTTTAGGTAAGTCCATTTTCATATAAAGTTTTATTTCACATTTAGCAGGACTGATCAATTTTTCCAATCTGTTTAATTAATTCATTAATTTGACTAACTTTTGATGTGGATACCTACGTAAAATGCGGAAAAGCGACTTGGGTGTTTTCATACGAGGCAGCCTTGTTTGCTTTAATAAGGCTAAAACGGCAACGATAGGAGCAAGTCAGCCCTTTAGCTTCTATGGAGGAAACGTTGGCAAAATTTAATTTTTTTATCCGTCCATTAATGCTGAAGGCCAAAGCGAAGCCCAGTTGGAAAACACGTTTCAGTTCTAGTGATCTTTGCACATACACTCGGTTGAGGTGCACAATGCTTCAAATATTGGTGGACGGAAATACTCAATGTATTTATTTTAATTCCCCTGTCAAAGAAGTTTGAAGTGGTAGGCTCGAAGGCGGCGGATATCAGTGCAAACCAGATGTTTTCATTAAGGCGTAACTAATACTGACTAATCTTAGTCATACTTGTCGCGGTCTGTTGCAAATAGCCCACACTATGAAATTGATAGACCACCTGCATAAAATGACGGCACCCCAATTCAAGTACCCATAGGGTGGAATGCATTTACTTCCCAAGTATTACCGCCACCATATTACCGCTTTTTTAAATTGACAAAGACAGTCTTTCCCATCTACGTTATGCTATATAATCGGTTTACATCTAACGACCATTTAATACAAACCGCGTGCTCATCGACATTTGCAGTTAAGTAGCGCTTGGCGGACCATAACTTTAAATTAAGATAACTCGTTGAGCCACCTTAAACGAGTATTTACTTTATGGTCACTGTAAACAATTATGTTATAATCACCTTTAGGTGATCTTATACGAAGAATGTATCAGTGCTACTTTTCCAGTCATAATTCATCGGTTTTGTTGAAGGAACATCCGTTTTTATTTGTAGTAGATTTCAATATGAGCACTGAACAGGGATACACCGGGAATGGAGGTAAAATTATTTTCTTAATCTTCGGTGCAATTAAAAACAGCGTATTTCAACTTGCAGGTGCATGTTAATTTTTATTTTATCTGACAGTACGTGCATGCAAGAACCTAATAAAATGACTACGGCCAAACTTCATAAATGCGCATATTATTCTTTTAAATGTATGCACATAACCGGTAACACAAAGTTATTGCTTAACGAATCATCGCAAACACGGTTGGCGGCATCCGGTTTCGGATTTGCCTGTCACTGTGGCAAGCCACAGGACGCCTGCGCCTACAGAGGGACCATGGATGGCTTGCGCTGCACCACCCACAGCTCCAACCGCATACCCCATATCCAGTGTAAACCCGAAGGAATAAGACCGGGAGGCATGCGGATGGGAACCACGTTTCATCAACGGAGCCGGACCACACTCCTTCACAGGCAAACACAAGCACGCTGTATTTGGGGAATCAACCGCACACAAGCAGGTGGCTGGACCGTAGTCCGCTCCACACTGAGTGCATGGAACCGCTCTTTGAGCCTAGCACGGCCACAAGAACCGTGCACCCCGTCCCCTCCAGCAACGACCAACTGTCTCCTGGAGCCAGTGTGAACGATGTAGTGGGTAATAGGCAGGTAGGCACCTTGTCAACATACACATCAAGCGCAACCATACCAGAGATATCAAACTACAGCCATTCAATTTAAACAACAAGCTGAAATAAAATAAATCAAATAATGCATACAGATACGGTGGCATAACTCTTCGCTAAATTACCATATGAAGTAAGTTGGTCAGCAACAAATCCGTGATAAGTAAGAAATGTCCACAAGTTACTTAAAATGCTACAAACGCAATAAAATTACCGAAGATAAGCGCAATTAGTGTAAGCAACGTGGCCAGTTAATAGAACATTATTCAGGGAGGCAAAACAAACCAAATAAAGCGGAATGAAATTTATCCAGCTGAAAAAGGCCTAGTTTAAGTGTAAGTTGGTTTAGCCCAACTGCGGTGAAGAAGCATCAAGAATGCAACATCAGCCTCAGCATGGGGCACCAATAATGGGATAATAACATACATTAAAATTAAAATGTTATTTGGACTAATGAAGTGTTAATAAAAAAGGTATGTTAACACTGCTAAGATGTAAAATAACACCTACTGCATAATTTATAAAATTAGCTGCACTGGACATATTTGCACCTTAAGCGATATAAAAACATATGTTTTCTTGATGAGTATTAAAAACCATAGTTTTATATTTTAGCCTATGGATGGTGAAGCACCGACTGAGGAACTATTTGTTTCCGTGCTTAATTTCCTTCCATTTAATAATGGATTTTTAACGGGCAGCTTGAATTTTGGACCCAGATTTATTGAGTTAATTGTTAAGACAGTGAATTATCAGTATATATTCTCAAAGAAACCAGACGATTTTGAGCAGAAAATAAAGCATTTTGCTTGTAGATATACACGCGGTTTTCCCTTTAAGAATGAGATTTTAGTGAACAGGGCTAGACTATCTTTTTTGACTTATGCTAAAGTTTAAACATGGTGTGGAATGAGCAAGCATTAGCATACTAAGTTTCCGAGCAACAAAATACTTACAACTGAACACAAATATATCCAAAAACTTTAACGTGACAAAAGAGGATATTTAATCGCATTTGACGAAAAAAACAATATACTTATCAGGATGCAGCTCAAAACTATTTAAATGTAAAATTACCGAATTTTTGTAACCTCATTTTCTGCATTTCCCATATTGTTTTCAGGACGTTTACTACCTGCGAGCTTGTCAATGCTTGTTTTGTCTGGATGGATGCTCTCACCTTAAACTACACCAAAATACCAGTGGAGGAATATTCTGAAACTGTAGTACCACGTGGTTTTGCATAACACTACTTGTTTAAAATATATTCATTTGTCGATAAATGTATATATTCACATTGCTTAAACCAACCGGGAGAAGATCGATTACAGTGCAAACAATCTTCCTACTCTAGATTTGTAACCAATAAACTGATAAATAAAAATATTATGTTTGGCCTATCGGCTCCGGAATTTGAATAGCAAAGCAAAAATATTCGTCAGTGAATAAAATAAAGTATCCTGAGCACTACTGAATTAAATGTATCTCCGTGTATGGATACTGCATGAATTTTCTAGATATGCCAAATCAAATAATTAGTGCGTTTGGTGGACTTATACTCTGGAAAGGACCCTTGTTAACAACAAGTGTATAGCACATATAAATTAACGGCCGGATGCGGGAACCTGCGCTAATCCTAGCCTTTTGAATATTTTCGAAAATCAAGCAATCCTTCATCCTCACTGACATTGATTACAGCTACGCTTGGATTTCCTAGGAAGATTTCATTGATCCATTCAAACAAATTGACGTAACCCGGTAAAACCTTTTGGTTTCTGTCTAGTTGGCCGGATAAATCCATTAAGCTATTAATGAATGTCATTGCAAATGACTGTGCTTGTAATGTAATTTCCTAACCGCCAAGCAATAAATACCCGCCTACGCAAGAGTTCACAAATAACCGAGCAATATTGTTTACAGACCAGTAAAATTCTAGGTGATCGTGAATCTGCGCTGATGGATAGTAATGGACGCGTTACGCTGCCTCTGCAAGTGTTAGAATATTAAGTAACAGCAGTAACGTTTCTTGCGTAAAATATAAGAGCATATGTGAAGTCCGCTGATTTTGTACTAAAGTGGACCACTTCTTTTACTAAGAAGCTAGTCATTTCAGCAAAAGTTGAAGCAAATTTTATGTAAATATCCATTTCTTTCTTTTCAGGATACGTAAATAATTATATCCGTCTATGTTAACAAAGCTTTAAATCTTATACTTGTGTGCCTTGAAAGGTAACTAATGGATTAGCACGTTGGCCAACCAGAACGTAGAATGTGTTTGGCTCTTTAAGTGATATCCAAAAAAACACGTATGTTTGTGCCCCTTGCTGAGGCTGATGTTATATATATGACTCTTCTTCACAGCAGTTGGGCTAAACCAACTTACACTGAAACCAGAATTTTAATGTGGAAAAGAATGCATTACATGTTATTTGGTTTGTTTTGCGTACTTGATAATAATATAATTACATGCACACGTCGCTCTTGCGGATTGTGGTAAACTTGCGTAATTTTATCGCGTGGTATTATATTAAATAACTTTCGGAAATTTTGTAATTATCACAGATTCACTTTTAACCAATTTTTTCTGTATGCTCAGTTAACAAGTATTTATGCCTTTAAATGCGTTTACTTTAATCCATATAGGCGTTTCGAATGATTGGCTGTTGTTTGACATCCCAGGTGTGGATGCGCTTGAAGTACATGTTGACAAGGTGCCTACGTGTCTATTAACCACCTCCTTGTCCATACTGGCTCCAGAAGACAGTTGGCCGTTGCTGGATGGGACGAGACGCATGGTCCTTTTAGTCGTGCTAGACTCGAAGTGTGCTTGCATGGACTGAGTGTGAAGCGGACTATGGTCAAGCCACCGCCTTGTGTGCACTTGATTCCCCAGATACACCGTGTTTGTTTTTGTCTGTGAAGGAGTGTGGGCCGGCTCTGTTGATGATCCGTGACTCACATCTACATGGCTCCACGTCTTATTCCTTCGGGTTTACACTGGATATGGGGTGTGTGGATGGAGCTGTAGGTGGTGCAGCGCAAGCCATCCATGGTCCCTCTGTAGGCGCTAGCGTCCTGTGGCTGACCACAGTGACAGGCATATCCGAAACCGGATGCTGCCAACCATTGTTGCGAGGCAGCGAAATATAAATTCTCATTGTCCTCTTCTCATAGTTGATTCGGATAACCGCTACCCAGGCATTATATATTTTTAAAGAATGAAATATAAAACCATATTCGCAGCATTTATAACAAATTTTATTTGCATTGCTTTGTTTAAATCTATCAGTTTCTGTACGAAATATTTTCCAGGTTCTTTTAAAACTGTGAATCATAAACATTGACGCTCTTTTCCAAGTTTAATTTTACGATGCCCCCTAATTTCAAAAGGTAGTATGGTGATGGGGTTAGTTAGGATACAACTATGGTTTTGTGACAAAAATGTGATATTGACCGATAATGCTACTTGTGGTTGCAAGCTGGCAATTAGGTGCATGCAGAAAACTGTTAAATATACTTAAGTTTCCGTAGCTAGAAAATTTGCACCACTTAATGTGCACCTGGTAAATGATCGAAGTAATGGTTTGTGTTCACCCTGCACTGCTTCCATTCGAACTTTCCTAACAACGACAAGAATAATTTTAAAAAGCCATAAGAAGACGAACAATGCCAGAAGCCTCTTCAATGCACTCATTCTGTTCTAACTTGTTCCGTACTTACCCTACCTGTGGTCTTACATATTTTCATATTTTTGTGCGGGTACTGAAGAAACAATAAGAAATGTCGACAGCTGCCAATGTTCTTCTTCTTATGGCTTTATTCAAATTACTAAAGGGATCTAATTGTTTCAAATTTCTCAAAAGACGAATTCCCGTAAATTTCGTCAGACAGCTGTGCCTTCTTGTTAGTCTGATTTGCAAACATGTTTTGCTGTCGTTCGGAAATATCTGTCTTCTCAAACTGTATCACCGTACATCAATATCCGCGTTTGGTTTAGTAGGTTGTGCCTAAATATAACTAACCTTGTCCAATGGAAATCTCGGGCGCATTTTCTCTACTTAACTGAAGACTGCTCAATCTCCATTCGCTGCGCTACTCGAGACGCATTTCCGCCTAATATAAATACTGGGTGGCTTAGCGTTGTTTTGTAGAATTGCGTTTACTAACTTCTGCAAATGTAATCTTGATCTTACAAAGGAGAAATGTAAGGTCGGATGGAAGAATTCACTAGTTGACAGTCGGGAGGAGCTTGCTTATCGTGACCATAATACGCACGATTTAAACCTGTCAAACGTTTTCCTTGATGTCTTAAAACTTGAAGCGTTATCGTTCGGAATGGAATAAAATGTCCCACCTGGTATGCTAAACGGCTTGTTCATAGAGGCAAAGTTTCAAAAGCTTCATGATCAGTTTACAGGATTACAGACATCTAG